GGATTGGTTGTCTGGATGTACTGTGTTTCTGGTTAAGTGGGGCATTTCCAGGAATGCTAAAGTTTGCTTTCCTGATGTAGCACCCCAGAAAGGAGGAGCTCCATCTTGGGCCTAAAATTTTATTTCCACATCCCTTATCAGATAAATGATTTGCAAATACTTTCTCCCATTCAGTGGGTTGCCTTTTTACTCTGTTGATAGTGGCCTTTGGTACACCAAAGTTTTACATTTTGATGAAGTCCAATTTATCTATTTTTTTCTTTTGTTGCCTGTGTCTTTGGTGTTGTATCCAAGAAATCATTGCCAAATCTAATGTCGTAAAGTTTTCCCCTCAGAGCTATTTTAATAAGTCATTTTATAAGGGTTATGGGGAACATCATCTTTAAAAATTTATTTATTTACTTATTATTTTAGAGAAAGAGAGAGCGGGGGGGTGCTGAGGGAGAGAATCCCAAGCAGACTCTCCACTGAGTGCAGAGCCTCGATCTCACGAGTCTGAGATCATGACCTAAGCCAAAATCGAGTCAGATACTTAACTGACTAAACCACCCAGGCACCCTGAGAACGTCATCTTTAGATGGAGCAAGAAGATAACTAAAATCCTGAGGGAGGGTTTACTTTTTTGCCACTGAGCCTACACCTTAAAAAGTAATCCTTGCAAATGGACTCTGGCGAGCTCTGGTAAGAAAACAACATAAAAGAGAGCTGCCTCAAATGAGCAGTAACAGTGAACATAAGAGGAAGAGTCTCCATTTTACATCAACAATGACATTCTTTTCCTTTGCAGATCCAAGTTCCTTTATGTAATATTCGAGCCAAACAAATGGGGAGGGGACTCATGGGCTCCAGTTTGCCTAACTAATTTGCTCCATCTGGGTCTAATTATCCATGTGCGTTTCCTCACCAACACCCCATCCAATCTCCATCGCAACGTGCGGAGTGAATGTCATGCCCGTGGAAGACAAACCCTGACAAGCAGATAGGGAAGGACCAAGATCAAAGAGCTGGGTGAGAAATCAAGAGCAGTCCTGTCAAGATGCCTTAACTTGGATTTGCAGAGTCCTGCAACGACGGACCCTGGCTTCCGAAGCAAGAAAACAACATGGTTTGAGCGGCCAGATCACCAACACCAGGATGGCCTCTCACTGGCAAGCTCACTAACGTCTGACTTTGCACATCTGTTCTAAACGCTCACCAGCACAGGCTTTGAGACAATCCTGTCTAGCTGACCAGGCTTCGGCTGGGAAATTACAACAAGAGTATTAATGACTGGTCGAGGTTGTACTGACCCTCCAAAGACTGACACTCACGCCATCAGAACCATCATCACTGACCTTATTCAGCATAGGATAGCTGGAGAAGCTGACCCAAATTAGCCCAAGTAGAAGGGACAGCAAATACACGGTTCCTCTCCACTCCCCCCAGCCCAGTCCTCATGGGCTGATCTCCCCTGGTTGATGTGATTTAGGGAGGAAAAAGGGTAACTTTTGGAGGTGAACTGTTGTGGTTGGATAGGTTTGGGTTTGCACCTCCGCTTTAACATTTATGCGTTGTTGACCTTGGCCAAATAATTTGGATCTCAGTTTTCTCATCTGTAAGTGGGAGTAATTAAGTCTGACTTCATATGTCACGAAGAGGGGTGATGGAAAGTGCCTGGCACATACTAACACCTCAAGGTCAGGAACCATCTCTTATTTGTCTTTAAGCACCTAGCACATAGTAGATCCCTGATAAATATTTGCTGGATGGATAGCCCCAAGAATAACCCCCTTCCCTTAACTCTGTACATCATTTGGTTGTGAGGTGGAAAAATCAGTAAAGAATTTTCCCTGCTGCGCCTTTACAGAGTTAAATCTGCTTCCTCTTAGGAGTTGCACATCAGAAGAAGAGAGCTTCAAAATCTTGTCAGATAAAGGAGGGCTTTATGGAGCAGAACTCCCTCGAAAGTGTTCTGCATAACAATACACCCACGGCTTTTAACGGAGCACTTTCCCCCAATTCCTTGTGGATTCATTAAACTGACAGCTTGGCACCAGCATATTGATGCCTGTTTTCTATCTAACACAAGCTGTATGAGTGCCTCGTGTTTAACACACTCTATAAATTTGTAAGCAACTATGTAAAAACAAAAAACTCAGAAAACAAAGAAAAGATGCTGGGTTGTTATTTCACTCAGAAACAATAATGAGTGTCTCTTTTCTATACTCCTCCCACTCTAATTGGGTATATTTGGGTTTGGGTTGTTTTCCTTTGTTCAAAGAGTTTGAATTGCAGCAGCTTCTTCTTACCCTTTAAAGAAGGCTGTGCCCTAGGCCAGGGCCACTGATAGTACCAGTCCTCCCCCAAAATAAGGAGCTCAAGCCAGAAGGTAAATCAGGGCACTGCTTCCTTCTTCAAAAAGTCTTGCTATGAAAAAAAAAAGTCCGCTCAACTAAACAGTGTGTTTAGTGCCAAAGTTGATATACACTCTGGCACAATCTCCTTATGGACAACTAACAGAGCTCAGAGACTGACACCACCATGTGTGGAGCACCCTCTGAGAAGCAGTGTTCTTGGTTACAGAACTCCCCATCTGCCTGAGAATGTACTGGACTGACCTTTACAATGGACTTCTGAGGGATTTTAGGCTACCTAGTAACCTTAGCCCTTCTTTTGGTGAAGCATCCCAATATCAAGGATCTGCCACCCCCTCTCTCAGTCTATGGGATCCAGACAGGGATCCTGTCTGAGCAGGGCTGGCCAAACAGTGCTCCGAGTCTCTGCAGCCACAGAGAATGGTCCGGGAACACCCGTATCCAGGGCCGACCAATCAGCATAATTCCATCTTCCTAGTGAGCTTTCAGACCTGGGAAGGGCAGTGGCCCTACTGGTGTATTCAGAGTGAATCCTGAGGTTCCTGCAGGAGCTACAAGGAAGAGTCTCTTTCCATTACACTTCATGTTGTAAGGATGTGAGCCTAGAGTCAACAATACCCATGAGGAGAGGGCCTGGCTGTGAAATGGAGCAAAGACAAGAGCAGAACTAAAAGAGAGACAGAAACTGGGTTCTGAGAATGTCACTGGAACCTCTGGATCAAGCCTTGCCTGATCTACAGCTTTTCAATTCTGTGAACTAGTTCATTTCCTTTTTGCTTAGACTAGTTTATGAGCTTTCTGTAACTTGTAACTAAACGAGTCTAAAGTTCCGCCTGACTACTCTACCCTGGGCTATTCTAAAATCCACATACGCTGGCCCTAAGGAGACAAATCTGAAAAGGCAAAAGGTCTGGAGTCAGAGGAGCTACCACGAGCTGGGGCTAGAGGCAGGTTACCAAGACTTTCCACACCTGAGTTCCTTCCTCTGTCAGCTGATTAACATCTGCTTCATCCGCTGCCTGTCAGGTGACTGAGAATCACATAAAAAGATACAGAGGAAATCACTATGGAAACATACAAAAAAAAGCACTGTACAAACAAAAAATGTTATTATTAGCACAACAATAGTTATTCAAACTTCAAAATTATGGCGTCTATAACTATCCAGATCCTATAGGAAATTTTCAAAGCCTCTGAACAAGAATACATTGTTTTTCAAACGAACGAACATAGGGGGTGAAAAGAAGAGAGGCAAACCAAGAAACAGACTCTTAACTGTAGAGAACACACTGCTGGTTACCAGAGGGAAGGGGGATGGGGGGATGGGTTCTATTGGTGATGGGGATTAAGTAAGGCACCTGTTGTGACGAGCACCGGGTGTTGTATGAAGTGTTGAATCACTACATTCTACACCTGAAGCTAATATTACACTGTATGTTAACTAACTGGAATTTAAATTAAAACTTAAAAAAAAAGAATGCACTGTTAATTTATTAACACCTGTATTCTGCTATACGAGGGGGAGCGCCCTCTGCAGGCCAGCAGGTGTAAAGTGAGGCAGCAGACACGGAAGCCGACAGAATGAAGGGGCAGCTGGAAGCCAGTGCAGGTCTCAGGTTCTGGGCTGAGCACCAATAATGTGCTGTGGGTCATTTCTTGGGCCCACCCAGGACGTTTCTCCCCCATTGGACACATCATCCCAATGACTCAAGCTTATGAATCATGAAAGAAAAATTATGATTTAATCACCACTAGTAACCCTCAACTGCTATTTTGCAAACTTCATGGTTGTCCTAACAATAATACTGTTGGGCGGGTAGGCAGATTTCGTGTTTGTTTTAATGTTTTCATATCTGAGACTGAAGGGACCAACATAACAACAGACTTTCCATAAAAAGACTGAAGAGTTCCATAAATTTTGCACTTTTCCAAAGGTCAGAACACAATCATTTTATGATAAAGACAGTACAGGCAGTCAGGGGACAAGACGGAAAGAGGCATTATTGACTTTTAAACCTCGTTCTGAGTCCCTCGTCAATGGCCATATCAATGGATTCTCTTTTGATGGAAAAAATAACTAAATTTTTATATTTTCATATAACATAACCGGAAGAAGTTTATTCTTCACAGTTCCCTCCTTTGAGGAGCTCAAACGGGCAGCTGGGGTGGGAGAACAGGGGGACACTTGTTTTATTAGTGTCCCCACAGACTGGGTACCAACGCTGTGCCAGGCATGTACACTGCTACTGAGCCCAGCACCCCCCAGTCCACATCACCAATGGGCAGGGTTACAGTTCCTCAGAAGCAAGGAGTAGGCTGAGCCCGCTCTCCCTGCGCCCGAGGACAGCCTGCATTCAGGCAGAGTGGACTGGCCCTGTCTGTGTCAGCCTCCATAAAGATCACCTCTCTCTCTCCCTGCGTCTCCATCTATGCCTCTTCATCTTGTAAAACAAGTTGGCCCGACCCTGTTACCTGGTTATCCTCAATTCAGGGAGAGGGGTCAAAGGCCGCACGTTGTTCCCCAATCTAGCTGTACCATTATGAAAGCTGATGTTGTGTCCCCTACTGATTCAAGGTGCAGTAAGTTAAAAAGCAAAGGGGAGGAGGGAAGAGAAACTGTCTCTCTAAAAAGTCTCTAACACTTACCAGTTTGGATAATGCTCTGGAACCAGCATAGATTATACCCACAAACAGCACCGAAGCAGGAAGCCACGCTGAAACATCAGATCTGGGAAGAGGGAAAGAGGCCATCATATTTCTGTCATTTCCTGTCCAAAAGACATAGTTGGGAGGCATGACCCTTTGGATGCACCAAATACAACGACGGTGCTTGTCTAATATCTCTGAGCGACCCGTGAAGTGTGATGCGTCTGTGTCCACTAAGAGTGAGGGAGGCAGACAGAACCATCCAGCCACCCTGCCTGTTCCCCAGGCCACAACGGAGCGAGACAAGCTGGAGATGGAAGACAGCTTCCTGCAGTTTGGGAGAGAGAACAGATCTGATTTTTTTTTTTAAGGGGCAGTGAACATTATTCTTTGGATTTTAAGAAGCCAGAAGCTTTGAACTCACGCTGAATTATTAAAAATGTAAAAAGACTATTTACCTAGGCAATGTATCAAATGGCTCCATGGAACCACAACAAAAGGAAGAAAGTGTCAAAGGACAGAATTTTAAAAAGAATGCCAGAACTCTGGGCGCCTGGGTGGCTCAGTTGGTTAAGCGACTGCCTTCGGCTCAGCTCATGATCCTGGAGTCCCGGGATCGAGTCCCGCATCAGGCTCCCTGCTCAGCGGGGAGTCTGCTTCTTCCTCTGACCCTCTTCCCTCTCATGCTCTCTATCTCTCATTCTCTCTCTCTCAAATAAATAAATAAAATCTTTAAAATAAATAAATAAATAAAAAGAATGCCAGAACTCAAGCTGGGTGGCCATGTGCTGACGTTTTCCACCGTTAACCTGGAATCTCTAAGGACTTCTGAAGGGTGCATTTCTTTGATTCATTTGTGGCCACACCCAAAACTGCTTTTTCTCAATGCAGTTTAGAATCTTGCTCTCTTCAAGAAAAGCAAAATCCCGGTTTTTACATAGAGCACCAATCACTTGCTGCCCCCATCCGTCACCAACATATTCGGTCCACTAATGTCAGTTCCCTAGAGTTATTCTAATAATAGATAGAAATAAATGAGAGCGTTCCAGCAGAATTCAACATAATAATCCCAGATAACTCAATGAACTGCTCTCCTGGGATGGTGCCTGCTCAAGAAATGTTCTTTGTTAACTTTATTAGCACGGGCAGGCGCTCCATCGGTGATCAGACCTGCTTTTGTAAGCTCCCTAGTGAACCTGGTGTTAAAATGTCTCTAGTCTCTAGTGAGGCTTCCAAACCCTACTTCCTGAATATATTCATTCAACAAATATTTACAGCAATTTGCAAGGTGTTGACAGCACCAGAATTATTATTAACAGCAGCATCATAGTTAACATTTACTGAGCACTTGCTACAAACGAGGCACTATGCTAAATGTTTTCTATGCTGTGTCTTTAAAACATCTGCACAACACGGGGCGCCTGGGTGGCTCAGCTGGTAAGTGTCTGACTCTAGATCTCAGCTCAGGTCTTGATCTCAGGCCCGTGAGTTCAAGCCCCATGCTGGGCTCCACACTGGGCATGGAGCTTGCTTAAAATAAATAAATAAATAAAATCTGTACAATGACCTTGTGAAGAAAATATTATTATTATTATCCCCATTGTGCAAATGAGAAAACTGAGGCATAAAGAGTTTAAATAACGTGCCTGTGGTCAGAAGAGCTGGTAATGGCAAAGGCAGGATTTGAATTCAGGTCATCTGACTTTTAAAGCCCTAGCTTTGAGTCACCCTTTCATACTTTGCCCTCAGGGACCTCAGGATGTAATGGGAGACACTGACCTATACATAAATAAGCTGCAAACACAGCATGATTTTGCTCTCTTAGCAGACCAAGCAGCTAATTACCTGAGGAATATTCTCTGTCCTTCCTGGTCCTGCTGCAATCACAGATGTCTGCCCTCGCACCCAAAAAGTGAACAGAGAAAGGAAGATGCCATTCTCCATCCTAATGGGCCAAGCAGAACATCAAAGCAATTGCTATTCTTCTAGGAAAGGGCTTTCCCATTAGACATTAAGCTCACAAGGGTCAAGGGAGACAGGATTCAGGCCTCTGGCCCGCTGAGCAGCAGAAGGCAGCCCACACCGCAGGGAGCACAGGGGAGGAGGGAAGGAGGGCAGTGCGTGACATAGCAGGGTGCCCAGCTGCCGCAGGCCCAGTACTCTGGGACGCGAGCTCAGTGAGGCCCCAGGCATTTGTGCTCTGTTCCCTCTTAAACAAAGAAAACGCCTGTCCAGTCGTATGCTCCAAGAGACATCGGGGCATCTGAGTGACCATGGATGTGAAAAAGAAAACATGGCTAGAGGACACCTTGTATCTTTACCCTCTACCCTAAACACAAAGAAATTACTTTAACTGGGGCACCTGGGTGGCTCAGTCGGTTAAGCGTCTGGCTTCGGCTCAGGTCATGATCCCAGGGCACTGGGATTGAGCCCCGAGCATTGGGCTCCCTGCTCAGCTTGCTTCTCCCTTTCCCTCTGCTGCTCCCACCCCCTCCACTTGTACTTTCTCTCCCTCTCCCTCTCGTTCGCTCTCTCTCAAATAAATAAATCTTTAAAAAAAAATTATTTTAACTATAAAAAATAAACACAGATTTAGTTGGACCAAAGAGACTTCTGGGAAAGGTTACAAAGCAGCTGTGTGAGCATTTGGATCCGAGCATGGCACTGTGACCCAGGCCCGGGAGCTTGTGTTCTCCACAATCATGTCACTCAGGGCCCACATTCTAAGTGGACAGAGCCAAAGCACCATGCACCGATGGTGGAAATTTTGACACCTGCAGGAGCAGCTGGATGCCTGACCCTGTCTTGGCCCTCAGGAGCTCTTCTCAGAGACAGCTGTCTCCCTCCTCCACACATCAACAAAAAAGTATAGCTGCTATTGAGAAGAATAAATATGAATCACTGGGGACAGTGCTGCCAAAACAGATACGGGCAAAATCAGTGTGAAAGGATGGGGGGGGGATAATTAAAAATCAAGAAGAATTCTGCATTCATATTGTTCCAAAGTATCAAAGTTCTCATTCCACTGAAAATTCACAGGGTATTTGTTAGATGTAGTTGATGCAAGAAAACACTCAAGGGAACCCAGTAGACAATCCGTATGCCAAGAAAAAGCCTTCCCATGAGATTTGCAAATGAATGTACATTTATACATCTTAAGTCAAAATAGATTGTTTCATCCAAAAATGATTTATCTTTCAATTAACCCATTAATGATCAGAGTCAGATAATATATAATATATATATTATTAATGTGTCTCCCACCTCTCAAATAAACTGTAAGTTTCACAAAGGTGGGAGCCATGCGTGTTTTGCTCATATAAATAAATGTCAAATATTACACAGATGAAGGTTTTAAGGAAACTAAAGGACTAAGATGCACCCTAAGGGCATCTGATCTAGTCAGTGAGGATAGGGAAACCTTCCTCTAATAAGTGACATTTGAGATAAAACTCAAAGTTAAAGTGGGTACAGGGGGTGGGGTAGAGAAGCAGAAGGGACCCAACATTCCCCCCTCTCCTTGGTCTGTTACTCAAAGCAATAAAAGTCTCTTAAGGTTCAGTAAGATTCTGTCACAAGTTTGTTCTTCTCTAACTCTTCATTCCCAAATTCTTTGCAACACTGACCTCACTTAATTTATACACCAGCAGGAGAATCGGGCAAACAGAATGGCAGTCACAGGAGAGCACACTGTGTCTCCCTCCCAGAGAGAACCTGCCCCAAGGAGTCTAGTCCGATGACAGGTGAACAGCATTTGAAGAACTGTTTATACTTGCTGCTTTAGGAATCAGACTTGGGCTCTCTGGCTTACAGGGTTTTCCACGACTATCAGTTCCTGTGCTATCCTAACATGGACAGGTCAGACCTTCCAACGGTTACCTGGGGCAAATAAAATGCAAGACAACTGAGTTTTCCATGCTTTTCCAGGTTGTGTGGAGACAAGGTGGGAACAGGGACTACAAGAGTAGTGTTTTTTTGTGCTTTTGCCATCTCTTAAAATATTTGGTTTTTTTAAAGATTTATTTATATGAGAGAGAGCGTGCACGCAAGCACAAGCGGGGGGAAGGGCAGAGGGAGAGGGAGACAGAATCCCAAGCAGACTCCCAGGGGAGTCTGATGTGGGGCTCGATCCCAGGACCCTGAGATCATGACCTGAGCTGGAACAAGGAGTCGGTTGCTCAACCGACTGAGCCACCCAGGGGCCTCTTAAAATACTTTTTTAAAAAACATTTCTTCAGGACAAAATGAAACTATAATTTTAAAATCTGAGTTAATTCTGCTAAAATGGAGGATTATTTTCCAGGGAGATACAGCAATAAGTGATGGAAATTATACCTGGTTCTGGGCACTGAGGAGTATAACCTTATAACATGCACATGGTTACCCAAATCCTTGGGAATTATAATCAGCTCTCTTCACTGCCAAGGAATGTTTCAGCAGTTAGCTAACTTTAGCCAAGAGCTCTAAGAGATGGACAAACTTCACACATTTCCCTGGACTGTGCCCTTTCCATCTAGGGCTGGAAGTATCTAGGGGTCACCTAGGTCACTAGGCATGGGGGCAGAGGAAGGATGCACAAGTCCAGAGCAGCGCATGGCACAACAACACTCAATAAATGTTCTGGGTTTTGCTACACATAACTCCAAAGACAGAAGCCACTATGGAAGATTTATAGATCCACCTACATGAAATGCACTGGCCAAAAAACACCATAAAGAAAATCAAGAGCTAGGGTGCCTGGGTGGCTCAGTTGTTAAGCATCTGCCTTCGGCTTAGGTCATGATCTCAGGGTCCTGGGATCGAGCCCCGAGCATCGGGCTCCCTGCTCAGCGGGAAGCCTGCTTCTCCCTCTCCCACTCACCCTGCTTGTGTTCCCTCTCTCTCTGTCTCTCTCTCTGTCAAATAAGTAAAATCTTAAAAAAAAAAAATCAAGAGATGATTAATGACCTAGGAAAAACTACAGGCAACATATAAAACAGGCTGGAATTTCATGTTCTTAATGTATAATGAATGTTTACAATTCAATAAGAAAAAAAAATCAGCTCCACAAAAGAAAAATAGTCAGTGGGCAAAACCAAGTAT